CTGCAGCCTCAATCTCCCAGGCTCAGGTGATCCTTCTATGTCAGCCTCCCAAATAGCTGGGACTGCAGGCACACAACACCACACCTGGCTAATTTTTTGTAGAGATGGGGTTTCACTGTGTTGCCCAGGCTGGTCTTGAACTCTTGGGCTCAAGTGATCTTCCTGCCTCAGCCTCCCAAAGTGCTGAGATTACAAGTATGAGCCATCTTGGCTCGGAGGTCAATTTTAACTTGTCTTGAGATTGACTCTTTCATCTCACTGCTGTATATAACAGTTCAGAAACATTTATTCATCAATTTACATTAGGGTCAGCAGCCTGGATATTGGGATTTTAGTCCTGGACTGTTAAGTAAGTATTACCTTGACAAATGATTTCACTTTTTAGAATCAGTTTTCTTGTTGGTAAAATGAGGAAGTTGAACTAGATTGCTAAAGTCTCTTCTGATTCTAAAATTTTATGATGCTATATTAAGCACATTGCTTCTTTTTCACGTTAGTATAATTGACTGCTGCTGACCCATTAAGTTCTTCTGGGAGAATCTAGAGAGACTTGATAATTTCAGCCCCTTTTAGGATCTGTGTCTAAGCTAGTGATGTGTGTTCGAGTTACAAACTCACAGGAATTTTGTGAAATTTTTGTGTAAATGAGCAAAATAAATTATTGAGCTTTCCATGTTCCCTTAAAATTTTTTTTTTTTGCAGATGGAAGAGAATCGGGAGGCTGTTTATTTTCTGCATGCTAAGTAGTAGGAACATAAATCGTCAGACTGAGCTGTGCAGAGGCATTCATTATTGCAGGCAGTTGCATCAGAGCACAGTTTCATCTCTAAACAAAACATTATCTATGCCCCAGCCTTCTCCCTGGGTTGGTTTTTAATCTTGTCTTTCCTTTTTAAAACTGGTCTAGGTATAACTTGTATTCTGTACTGTGCCATACACAGCTTAAGTTTTAAAAACATACAATTTTCAAGCACAGAATAATTTTTCAAAGCGGTATGTTTACTCTTGACTTTGGAAAGCTACTATAAACTTTGTGCTTACTGTCAGTGTCTTATTGTATGATATTCTCAAATCAACACTTAAGGTTAGCAGGCTGATATGATAAATTGCTCTTTAAGGGCTATCTCTGTTAGAAATTGGAAAGAAAACTCCCTTGTAGCACCTTTGAATTAAGGAGCCAATTAATTTTTTGAGTCTTACTAACTTATGTCAGTCCTTTAGTGTCTGAATGGGCTTTTCCCATTGATCCATTTATTTATTTACTTATTTTTTTGTTTGTTTGTTTGAGACAGGATCTCACTCTGTGGGACCACAGGCATGCACCACCATGCCCAGGCTGGAGCACAGTGGCGTGATCTTGGCCCACTGCAACCTCTGCCTCCCAGGTTCAATAGATTCTTCTGCCTCAGCCTCCTGAGTAGCTGGGATTACAGGTGCCCACCACCATGCCCAGCTAATTTTGTATTTTTAGTAGAGACAGGGTTTTGCTACATTGGCCAGGCTGGTCTTGAACTCCTAACCTCAGGTGATCTCCCCGCCTTGGCCTCCCAATGTGCTAGGATTACAGGCATGAGACACCATACCCGGCTGCTGTTTGCTTTCTTTTTTTTGAGATAGAGTCCTGCTCCGTTGCCCAGGCTGGAGTGCAGTAGCATGATCTCTGCTCACTGCAACCTCCACTTCCCTGGCTCAAGCGATTCTCCTGCCTCAGCTTCCTGAGTAGCTGACAGGCACGCACCACCGCACCTGGCTAATTTTTGTATTTTTAGTAGAGATGGGGTTTCACCATGCTGGCCAGACTGGTCTCCAACTCCTCACCTCAGGTGATCCACTCGCCTCGGCCTCCCAAAGTGCTGGAATTGCAGGCGTGAGCCGCTGCGCCCAGCTGCTGTTTGCTTTTTAAATCTTTGTGTTAATTTTAAAGCTGAGTCTGGCCTGTTTAAAAAGTTATATATAATATATCATGTATGAAGTGTACATAAATACCCATATACGTAGAGAAATATCAGTGAAAATAGATTTTAGTGGTCCTAGCACAGTAAAGTGACAGAAGACTAAAAAAACCTAGAGTTATGCCTCCTGAAATCTTTCTTTTTTGACTGTAGTTCTTGAGTGAGTGCATCCCTTGTGAATCCAGGTGATGACAGCAGCGGGAGCCATACAGCAGTGGTAGAACATCTCATGGGATTACACAGGGGACGGAGATGAGTGAAGAAATACTGGTGCTTATAAATAGTCATGACAGGAATGGAAAAAAAGACAGGCTAAATGACTTAATATTCAATAAAACATTTAAGTAATCTGATGTGAAAGAAAATCTCATGTTTTTGAAGATGACTGAATGCTCTTCTTTTTTTAAACCTGGTTATCTAGTTTCTGTGGAAGACTGAATGCTCTTATTCTGACACCTGACTCTGGAATTGGTGTAAGTCAGTCCTATAGACAAAGCAGTGAACTTGATGTGGATATGTGGAACTGAATGGAAGTGTGAACACATGGCACCATGTTGGTGTTTTTTTGTTTTTTTTGAAATGGAGTCTTGCTCTGTCGCCCAGGCTGGAGTGCTGTGGCGCAATCTTGGCCCACTGCAACCTCCACCTCCCGGGTTCAAGCGACTCGCCTGGCTCAGCCTCCAGAATTCCTGGGATTACAGGAATGCACCACAACTTCTGGCTAATTTTTATATTTTTAGTAGAGACAGCATTTCACCATGTTGGCCAGGCTGGAAGTTCTGGAACTCCTGGCCTCAAGTGATCCACCCACCTCACCTCCCAAAGTACTGGGATTACAGGCATAAGCCATAACGCCCGGCCTTTTCTCTTACCTTTTAAATCAGCCTATTAGTTGATGCTGAAACCAAGTGTCTCCAGGTCCCTGCTTTATATTCTGTCCAGTTTATTTTGCTTGTTAGTTCACTGATCTGAAACATTGGCCTTCTGTGGCCTGGGCCCCAAACTGTATTTGGTGCCATCACACACATTTTCCCTGTGTTGAGAGCCAAGCTTTGGGAGGCCAGAGCTAACGGTGCTCTTAGGTGTCTCTGTCACTGATCCTCCACTTGCATGGACCACTCACGTGCTTACCGGATATTCCACCTTGGAGTGGATGCTCCCTGTCTTCATCCGCTGTGGTTTTACTTTCTGAGTCACAGAACTATTGTTAGGGCACACATTCTGATCAGTCACACAGTGTCATCATGTCATTGGACACTCTGTGTCAATGTGCACAAGGAATGTTCCGTATCTTATTCAGAAGACTAACAAGTTTCCCATGTTAGAATATGAGCCAATTAAACAATTATATGCAGCTGGGTGCAGTGGTTCATGCCTGTAATCCCAACACTGAGAGGCCGAGGTGGGTGGATCACCTGAGGTCAGAAGTTCGAGACCAGCCTGGCCAATGTGGTGAAACCCTGTCTCTACTAAAAATACAAAAATTAGGTGGCTGTGGTAGTGCATGCCTTTAATCCCAGCTCCCCAGGAGGCTTAGGCAGGAGAACTGCTTGAACCCAGAAGGTGGAGGTTGCAGTGAGCCAAGATCGTGACACTGCATTCCAGTATGGGAGACAGAGTGAGACTCTGTCTCACATACAAAAAAAAAAAAAAAAAAAATAGAAATGATGCCTCCTGCTATATTGGCCTTAATTCTGCCAGCCACAGGTTCCTTGCTTGTGTTTTGAGACATGATTATTAAATTTTTCATCTGTAGCTCAATCTCTGTACTGTATTTTGCTTTCAGTTTTGTGTGGGCGTGTTTTCAAACTCTTTGTGCTGAGCTCTCAGTTTTACTGGGCAGTGCCTTGTGCTGCCAGCAGTGCTTTCTTATACATTATGTATATATCACCTGTCAGATAGATATTTTAAAGTTCCTCTTATTGTAAGTGTTTTTTTTTTTTTTTTTTTTTTTTGAGATGAAGCCTGGCTTTTGTTCCCCAGGCTGGAGTGCAGTGGTGTGATCTCGGCTCACTGCAACCTCTGCCTCCCAGGTTCAAGCAATTCTCCTCCCTCAGCCTCCTGAGTAGCTGGGATTTACAGGCACCTGCTACCATGCCCGGCTAATTTTTGTATTTTTAGTGGAGACGGGGTTTCACCATGTTGGCCAGGCTGGTCTCAAACACCTGACCTTGGGAGTTCCACTCGTCTCGGCCTCTCAATGTGCTGGGATTACAGGTGTGAGCCACTGTGCCCAGCCCATTGACTTACTTTTTATTAATTTGTTAATTAATAATTAGAGATGAGGTCTCACCAAATTGCCCAGGCTGGTCTTGAACTCTTGGGCTCAAAGCATCCTCCCACCTCAGCCTCCCAAAGTGTTGGGATTACAGGCGTGAACCACAATACCCAAACCTCATTGGCCCACTTAAAAAAAAAAAGGATCCAGGATTGGGAAACCCTCTAATGCTGCTGTGTTCAAGTGTTTGGAGGGGAAGATACCGTTACCTGATGCTTTAGTTTGAAAATCACATCGTTTTGCATCATTTTATGGATTCTTGTTTTGCTATTGACTCACTTGAGAAGTTTTTTGAATTCTTCCTGTGTATCAAACTTTTGTAGGTTCTTTGGATGAGAAGATAGATCAAGTCTCATGGAACTTAGTCATATGCACACAAGACAGGAATGCCTGTGAGTCACCATTCTGTAATCGAAGGCTGCCTAATAGCTGGAGTAGTCCAGAGAAGCAAGAGAGGGCAAGAGAAGAGCAGTCAGAAGAGACTGCTGATGTGTCTCCTGTGTTCTTGGAGAGCCATTTCCCATGTGCCCCAAAGCCCTTCTGTATGGCAGTAGAGTATGGTGCTTGGCTCTAGAAACACCCTGTATGTGGGAAATGATGCCCATCCCACAACCTTAAGCTCAATTCAGCCAGGAGATGCGATGTTTTTAAATTGGGGCCAAGTAGGCCCATAAATTTTTTTTTTTTTTTTTTTTTGGTACTTTTCTGTGACGTTGAAATAGTTGACCTACCTGATTTTCTTAGGAACTGAAGAAAATTTGTAGTTACTCTTCAATCTTATTTATCTTTTTCAGTCTCTTCCGTATATACAGAAATATGAATGGGAATGAAATAGAAGGAAGAAAAACAATCACATAGGTCGCCCTTTCTTTAGGGGAAACAAGTCAATTTGGAAAGCTCTCAGTGTTGTGCAAGTGTTTTCAGTGGCTGAAGCTGAGGAGCTCAGGTTACGCTGTGTCTCCTGTGTTGGGGGTGGGGACAGCAAGTGACACAGCATACTTACGTAACCGTGACTTCACAGGACAGGATTAAGCTGTGAATGAACCTCCCAAACCCAGGAATATGATATGAGAACATAGCCTTTGAATTTCTCTCTTAAGTTTGACTTGAAAATCAGCTTCAGAAACATCTTTATCTTAAGGTAGACTTCCATTGCTCTCAGAACGTCTCTACCCTGTCCTTCTGTTATTAACTTCGTGGACGTACAGCATTTTAGAATTAGGTAGGGGTTCTGAAGTCTGTGAGTGCAGCTGTGCACAGGTAAGTCACTTCACCCGCCTGGTGCTGAATTTTATTTGGGTCGTGCAGTAGGGCCAGGTTGAAACCTGTGTTTCTGGACATTGGAGCTAGCACGCAGCCTGTTTCTGGAAGCTTGGTGTTAAACTCCCTCTCCTGGCAGTTTAAATTCATTGCAAATTCTTCAGCTCCCCTTTGCTTTCCAGATTTAGTAAATAAAGTGGCATTTTCATTTTGTAGATGGGGCAAAATGGACTGGAAAGAAGAAGAGTCTGACTCAGAGAGAAGTGATTTTCCTGGGGCAGCTCAATGCTGCTCTGTGTGTGCCGGGAGGTGCTGAGCCTGTTCCAAGCTCTTATCAGATTTGGCTTCTTTCTTCACTGATGGCAGAGGCCTGTACTTTTTACTCTGGCAAAGTTAGAGCCACAATCTTTCCTTTCACTTCTGAATCCTTGACCTTTCACTTACAGGATTTGGATTTGATACCCAAAACAGGACTAGAACTGTAAAGGGATGGAGTTAGAAACAGATCTCATTTAATTAGTGTCCTCAGGCTGCCGTTGGGAAGACTGAGCCAGGGAAGGGGTGGCATGAGAGGTTCAGGGTCATCCAGCTGGGGTGGAATCCCGGTGTCTCACTTCCCAGTCCAGCTCTCTGTCCATACTTTTTTTTAATTTATTTGAACCATGACATTTAAAAAAGAAATCAGGTGAGAATTACGAAGAATATTATTCTTTTTCGTATGAGCGTGATGTTAACCATTCTTGTTTTCGGGAACTGCTTGTTTTGTGGAACTTCTTGTTTCTGTAAGTTGCTTAAGCTTTTTAAATTGCCCAGCTAATTAAAAAAATTTTTTTCTAGAGATGGATTTTACTGTGTTGCTCAGGCAGGTCTCAGACCCCTGGCCTCAAGTGTTCCCTCTGCCTCAGCCTTCCAAAACGCTGGGTTTATAGGTGTGAGCCACCATGCCCGGCCAAACTTGTGTGTTTTAAAAACATATTTTGGGCCGGGCACGGTGGCTCAAGCCTGTAATCCCAGCACTTTGGGAGGCCGAGGCGGGTGGATCACGAGGTCAAGAGCTCGAGACCATCCTGGTCAACATGGTGAAACCCCGTCTCTACTAAAAATA